AACAACTAATAAAAAATATGGAATACAATAAGAACATTTGTAGATCAAGAGAAAGCATTTGATAGAGTTGATAGGAAATTGCTATGGCAAACATTGACCCAATATGGAGTAAGTGAACATCTAATCAGAGTGTGCAAAAGCTTATACAGCAATTGCAGAGCTGTAGTTAGAACAAACTGAGGAATATGGGAACCCTTTGTAAACATATTTACATCTGGTAAATATGTTTACATCCGGTGTAAAACGAGGATGTGTACTATCGACACTTTTATTTATCACCTACATAGGCAACATAAGCAAAAAAGCCAAGCCCAAGAATGAAAATAACATCAATGAACCACTTTTTGCAGATTACCAGGCATTGATAGCAATAACAGCTAAGGAGCTGCAACAGCATCTTCATGAACCAAGGATGCAAGGCAGCCAATACGAGTATCAGTAAAGAGAAGACTTAAGTAATGGCAGTTGGAAGGAAAAAGAAAGCCATAAATATAGAAACAGAGGGAACAAGCATACAACAAGTGTCTGGGTTCAAATACCTAGGAACAACATTCACAGAAGACGGTAAAATGGGCAAAGAGATTAACATACACTGCAGTAAGGCAAACCAAATACTGGAACAGCAAGCTCCACTCCTACAACATACAACAGTGCCAATCAGTACAAAGAAGCACCTCATACAAACCATATTCATCCCCACCCTAAGCTACCAGTGTCAAACAAGGACACATATAGCAAAACAGAAACAAAGTTAGTCACCACGTAACTGAGATGTTCAATGAAAGTGGCCAGAGTGACCATGTGGGATAAAATCAGGAATGAAATTATAAGGGAAAGAACTGGAATAGAACCAATCCTAAACGATATACAAAGACAGCAAATTAAGTGGTTTGCTCACCTGGAGAGAATGTCTTGGGAGTCCATCCTGTTCAAGGCATAAACAAAGAGAGGAGAAGGCCACAGAGTGCGAGGAAGACTCAGAGGAAGATGGAGAGGCAACATCAAAGACACACTACAACAGCATCACATAACAATGTTGGATGCCACCAGAAGTGCAAGAGCCAGAACTTTGTATCTCCCTCCACACCTGAAGCAGTAAAGGGGAAAGAGAGGAGGAGGATGAAGGGGAGGGCAGAGGCAGAGGGAGACAAAAAAGAAAGAAAAGAGTGTCTCTGTAAAACATCTGGTGATCCCCTTCAAGCCCCTGGGTGGCCAAGTAAGTCTTTAAAGGCCACGGAGAAGAGGGCCCTCGGATAAGTGGCACTGAAGAAATGACAGATTCGGCGCCAACTAGGCCACAGTGCGGAGTTCTGTTAGTGCAACATGTACTAAGAGTCACTCCTACCTAAGAATTGCCCCAGTGGAGTAAAACAAAACAAAGCAAAACAAAAACAAAAACTAGCCAAGCAGGAGAGCATGAAAAAAAAACACCTTCTCTAAAGAACCAGCTAAATAAAGCCTGAGTTAGCCCCAAGTTATCAAGGACGAGTGGGATGCACTCATTTTGCCCACTGCTACCCTTATCCCAAAACACCACCTTTTCAGAGCATTAACTGAGGTCATTCTCCCAAAGACACCTCCCCTTCACTGCACCCACTTTGTTGCCTTCCTAGAAAAGCCTCCCCTTCAGATCTCACAAAGCTATCATGTCTTCAAAACGAACTTTCTATTCCGACTTCTTTTCTTGGCACCTATCGTTCTGTTACCCTCTTTACTTATTACTATTTTCATATTCGGAATAGGCATTGCCATAGAACACATTTCTAGGAGTATTTTCAGTCCTTCATGTTTAGCTCCAGAAATAAGGCAAAGTCCCTCAAGTCCAGCTTTCAACCACAAAGCCAGGACCACTGCTTCGTCCAGACAATTAATTCAGATCAATGTGTGATGGCATAATCAGAACACAGAAGCAGGAACAGAAGAAAGAAGATTCTTGCAGGCAAATATCTCTGGGTAGAGGAAGCTGAGTAACATGTAGAAGGCCAAACAATATAAGAAACCCACACTGACACCAATTTGACTGGGGCAGGGGGATTCCTTCTCAAAATATGGTGAAGCAATAAATCCTGAGTATGAGCAACAAGCCCCAGCCACCAAGGGCTCTTTTCTGAAATGTTTTCACTTGAAGCCCATAAACAAGACCCTTGTTTATTGTTTATCTCCAAATCTGACCAATAAGAACAGACCCTTTGAGCAAAAGCAAACCCTTTCAAAATTCATGGCTGAATGCTCCCCTTTGAGTAGGGAATCTCTGCAGAGCAAACATTGTGCTACATGGTTGCACAGTCTTATCCAAGGAGTTCCAGATCTTGGATAGCCAAATTCTTTCCCTTAGGGTAATGTAGGTCAGCATCATTGGGATCTTAACAGGCTGCTGGGTCAACGATGCCTGAAGTCATGTCTCTGTGAAGGAGATGTAAGCAATTTTCTGTCAAGGCAAAGATAACTCCATAAGCCATCTCTGTCATTTCAAAGATTGCAAAAGGAAATACATTCCTGAAGGAATGCATAGCTAAAATATCCATGCATAATTTGTCTGTCCCCACCACCCCCGGCCCAATGCAGCCTGCCTGCCATCTGTTCTGTCCTACCAGGGGCTTCACATACAGCTGAAAATCAACTGAGATGAGTTTATTGAGTCTCCTGATACACCTTACAAGGCTGGAGGGCTTGTCAAGCCACAAGTTGTGCAGGCCTGACATAAAGCTTGTGCGTGAGTGTGATGTAAGTCATTTGCCCCTCCAGTATGTCAGTGCCAGGATTCACCTTGCTTCTGCAGTCCTTCCCTCCCAGGTGAGTACCACAACTGCATCTTTAGGAGGAGGAACAAGGGGATACTAGAGAGTGGTGAAAGAGAATTTAGAGCCATGTGTCATGGGGCTGAGCTCTTCAGGGCACTGGCAAATGGGCTGCATATATCATCAGTGATTTTTCATCACACATACAGTATTTTAATCAATGGTATCGGTTACTTCAACATAGTGAAGGTGAAGGGGGTTTCTATAAACTACACTGTAGACTAGTAGAAAATAGTCTTTGAATGCTACTTACTACATAACCCATACACATACAACCTTTAAGGCAGGAAATGGGTGGAGGGAAGCCAAAATCAGCCCAATAAAGATACTCAGTAGTAAGTTGGAGTGAGGTGGAGAACAATCTAGTCAGTCAGTTTTCCACATTTTCAATGCATTGGTCACACAACAGACCTGGATCCTTCTGGAATTAGTTTGACATCAAACCAAATTTCAACACATTAAGGTTGAAAATTTGGGAGGAGAAACAGAATGGAGAATCCTGGAAGACAGTATGACTGGCTGGTACCTTGAACAGAAGCACCCCACACATTTCCTGCTTGTCTAAAATCTTAACCTTCTTTTCATCAGTCTTTGAAGCTGAGAATACAAAGCATATACCTGTCCCTGAGTTTATATATTCTGGAAGGGAGTCTGAGGAATTGAGGAAGACAGTAGTGTCAAAAGAAGTTCTTGACCTTATCGACAAACTGAAAGTTAGCAAATCACATGGTCTAGGTGGTATCCCAGAGTTCTCAAAGAACTAGAACATGAAATTGCTGACTTTCTTACCAAAATATTTAATATGTACTTAAAAACAGGCCTTGTACCAGAGGGTTGGAGAATGGTCAATGCAACACCCTTTTTAAAAGCGATCCAGGGGGCATCTGGGATGGCTTCAAAAGGGGATTGGACAGATTCATGGAATAAAAAGCTATCAGTGGCTACTAGCCTTGCTGGCTATGTGCTACCTTCTTCACCAAAGGCTCTAGTTGTTGAAAAATTTGAGCAAGCAGAGTTCTTGCACCCATGTTGCTTGAGTGATCCTGTAGTCAGAATGCTGCACTACACAGACCTTTGGTCTGATTCAGTAGTGCTTTTCTTATGTTATTAATGTGCTATAAACATCAATGACACAATAATAATGCATGCTTTTTGTTGTAGTTAATCAGCAAGTATTCATTTACACACAAATATTTTGCAATTTAAAAACTCAGAACATTTTTAAAGACCTGTTTCAAATGTCCAGGCTTACCAAGGCAGAAGGCTTTTATTTCAGGTGAATTCCAAATGTATATAAGTATTTGGCTTGCTTAAGTGTGACACTTTTCATGCATAAAGACAATAATAGTGGCATGTATTATATGATCAGGTATAGTTGATAAAAAGACCCAAAAATTACAGAATGAGGAAATCCCAAAGTTTAAACTACTGGGCTTAAAGAACCTCCCACACACAACTTAACCTGCCTGCATAAACAACTTGCAATAACAAGTTTGCATAAAGAAAAACAAGCAGCTTGCTAGAGAATGTGTGTTTGGAGATAAGAAGTGTGCTCAAGATGAGAGATGTTTGCCCCAAACTAGACCATGTTTAAGATGACAGCAAGCCATAAAAGGGGTTTATCTTACCATACACTACTAAAGTCATGTGAACTAACATCTCACCTGTTTATATCCTGTCGTGCAAGGGAGCTAGCACTTTTCCCAGGTATGTCCTATTGTACAGGGGTGGGCACAAGGTAAATCGATATCTATGAATAGATACCTGAATGGTTGTAGGAGCTGAACAAGGATTTCTAACTGAATTGTATAACCATGGCAATAACAAAGTGACCTCTTCTCTCCTCCCAAGTGCTAAAACCACATTATTGAAGTGGGGGAAGTTGGAATAACCAGAGGGGGGGTTTTTTGTGTGAAAGGACTATAAGCTCCATTGAGTTCTGGTATCAAAACATGTTCCTTCAATCAGGAAAGTCTAAATTCCAAGTATATTACTTTTGTACCAGGCTTCAGCTGATAGACCTCAAAGCTCTATTAAAAGCCAAAATGGATTCCACACATTATTATTATATTACATTTCTATACTGCCCATAGCCAAAGCTGTCTGGTTGGTTCACAACATTTAAGTCACCCATCCAGATTTCAGCCAGGCCCAACCCTGCTTAAGTTCCAAAATTAGGCAGGATCAAACCCTTCAGGCTACATGGAAGCTGAACTGAGTGGCACAAGCTACTCAGTGATATTTACTTTGCATGCAGAAGGTCCCAAGTTCAATTCTTAAACACACCAGTTAAAAAGGAAGCTGGTAGGATAACCAGGAAAGACCTAACGCTGCCAGTTGGAGTAAACCGATGATCAATGATCCATTCAAGTGTTGGAGAGCTGCTTCTGAAAGGCACCATAATGCAGTCATAAGGAGTTTTTCTTTTGGTTCAACTGGCTCTGCAGAATGAGTTCAGTAAAATAATCAGCGGCACATTCTTAGGGTAAAACTGCTATTGTGACTTCCTGAGCGCTGAGAGACTTGGATTATTTAGAAGGGTATAAAGCAGCAGCCATCTTGTCCTGGATTTCTTCGATACCCTAAAATCTAAAATAGAACAAGGCATCAGTGTTTAGTTCCTATCAATTCTCTATCAAGTCAGTCCAAGCAATTTTTCCCACACGGCACAGAGAGTAGAAGGAACAGGCAATCCCTTATGAGCATCCACTACTTAAAGCACTCTACCTGCTGACTCCAGTAGAGGGGTGAGCCAAGCATCAGTGCCACTGTTATCCACCCCCCTCCACATCCCCCTGTTGCTGGATGCAATATGTAGTTCGTTTTATAGATGGAGCATGTCTTAGTAAATGCAATCTTCTCTGAGTCACAAGAAATAATAGTAAAAGATAGAAGAAATGGCTTTGAGGGTCAATTGCATATTATCCACACTCAGGTTTACCGGTTGCATTATTGAAGTGCTGGTAATAGGTGCTTCCCTGCTGTGGTCTCTCTCTGGCTTTCAGCACAAGAATGTGGCAAAAGCAGATGAGGGTGGGGTTTGTGTGATAGTGGTCAAGGAAGAGCATCCCGATCCATGTCCTGAATCCTGAAATGAAGTAAGTCCTGTCAGCATGCAAAGCACAGGTAGAAATGAGGAGCTCTCTTCCTTGCACTCAGAAAGAATCGCAGTGTTTCTGCAGAGCACTCATGTGATACGGTATTCGGTTGGTGAGACCCAAGTTCAACTCCTTTGTTCCCTAGCAATTCGTATACCGATACATTCTGATTCTTAACATGCACTGAGCTATGGGTTTCCTTTAAAGGAGGGTTTTACCAAGCCAATAGATGCTTGGGGGTGGGGGGGGGGGAGATGTATACAAATCTAATTGCCAAAGCTCCTCTTCACCAGAAAAAGGAGGTGAGATACACTTTCAGAATTTCCCAAACAGGTGGAGTATCGGGGGAAAGCGCAAAATGTGCATCATGCTGGGGACTATCAGGGGAAAGTGGAAAAGATGAGAGCACCAGTGTAATGGTAAAGGTGTTGGACTGGGTCTTGGTTCTACACCCCACTCATCCATGAAGCTCAGCGGGTGACTTGGGAGCAGCCATTCACTCTCAGCCTAACCTGCCTCACAGGGTTGTTGTGAGGATAAAATGGACTGGCAGAGAAGGACATCAAGTGCCTGGATTTCTCGCAGGAGGAAAAAAGGTAGGATATAAATCTCACCACTCCCTTTTTATAAGCAAAGATCATTTGCCTTTGATTTTCTCTAACAGATTGGTTTTTGACAGCTGTCAGGAGAAAGCAAGAGGAAACAAACCTATTTGGCCCTCTCTGGCTCTATGTACAGGGTCTGTATCTGCTGTACCTTAACAGCAGTACTGCCTAGACCCTGCCCAGATGCAGCTTCCCTTTTTTCAGGCCTGTGCAAATCTAGCTACCTTTAAAAAACCTTAATTAATAAGTGTGTTTATTGGGGCACATTTCTTTTTTTTTAAGGGGTAGCCAACCAATGATAGCAGTTCCAGTGTGCACTTGGGAACTTGGGAGGTGCTGTCACTGGCTGTCAAATTAGAGATTACAAAAGATGATTGCTGGAAAAAAGAAGTTAAAGGGTAAAACCCCTGGTGACCCCCCACCCCTAGCTCACAATTGTGGCAGGGAGAGGAAGGCAAGTTAATCCTGCTGCAATATCATTTGGGATCACAGCTGAAGGTAGGGAAGGAAGAAACAACCCAGGGTAAGTCTGATTTTTTGCCTGGCACACAGGGGAATGTTCTAGGAACAACCAACTACCAGGACTTATAGCCAGGGAGGGTTAGTGTGATGTGCAAACCTGCCCACTGCCTCTGATAGTAAAGGAATGACTAGCGACTATTGGCGGTCTTCTCCTACATAAATTCATGCAATTTCATAAAAGCCATTCAAGTCAGTGGTTATCATGTCGAGGTTGATTCTATAATATGATGGGACTGGGATGAAAACTTCTATCTCATTTTCTCCAAACCAGGCATCATGTTGTATTTATTTATTTAAATCTTTTGTAGACCGTCCCATTACCGAAGTCTTGGGGTGGTTTAACAATAAAATGTAAGAAAAGGAAAAAATTAATTAAAACACAGCGTCCTAACATTTTAAAATAATAAAAACCCCACTTAAAATAGTCAGATCTTAAAACACTGGGAAAAATATACTTCCATCATGCCTCCCCTTTATTCACTTTTTTCCTAATTTTTTTTAAAAACACTTTTTGTAACTGTCATGAACAACAATTTAAGAAGGCATCCATAAAACTCAAGAACAAGGACAAGTGATTTACCAGGGACAGTTGCAGAATCCCGGTTTGTGGACCTTAGGTGGCCCACCTTAACTCACAGCCCCTCTGATTAAAATTAGCTCTCATTCATTAACTAAATGCTTACTTGATTTAATGATCAGTGAGAGACTGTGTGTGTAGTGGTTAAAGTGTTAGGATGAGACTTGGGAGATGTGGGGTCTAGTCGCCACACAGCCATGGAGCTCACTGGGTGACTTTGGGCCAGTGACTCACTCTCAGCCTAACCTACTTATGTGGTTGTTGCTAACGTCAACGGAGAGGAATACGACCATGTGAGCCACCTTAGATTCCCTGCAAGAACCAAAACAGCAAAATACAAATGCAATAATCTCTCTCAAGCCAGGCCTTAAGCCAGTTAAAGTGTGCAACATGAGCAGATTCTTCTGACTGCATGTGGATTCTTTCCCTGCTTAACTCTGGAATGTTTGAGTCTAAGGATGCTGGAGCAGCTCAGGCTCTCACCCATGTCAAGGGCTTCATAGCCTTTGGGCATTATTGTCCTGTCTATCCGAGCAATCAGCCAGGCTCCCACGACGATGCTGCTCAGCAGCCGGAACAGGCATGAACCCAGCCCCAGCAGCACATTGTAGAAGAAGAAGAAGTAGTTGAAATTCTGGAATCCTCTCCTAAAAATAAAGCACCACAGGAGAGTTTAACATTGGTATATGCCCATGCGTACCTGTGTATATGAATGGGTATATGTCTGTGTGTGTATAAGTCAATGGTTTGCATGTCCATATAAAAATGTAGGCATGCAGTGACAAGGCAGGGTGAAGTCAGTGTTCAGGAAGAAAGTGGTGCCCAGTCCCTGGTACACAAGCTGAACAAGAAAGGAACAAGTATTGCTGGTTTAGTTTGAATCAAACCGCGTCTAGTCTTTGGACTTAGAACAGGTTTAAGGGTCAGGTTTAAGGGTCAGAAGCATGCTGCAAGATGGTGTTTGCCCCCTAGCTGCTCCTCTGTCTCATGTGGATTCCCCTCTTACTAGGTTTCCCCAACCATGGTTAAAATAAAATCAGGAGCATTATAACCCCACTGCAAATCTGTTATAGTTAGGATTCTCAAAATGACTTTATGGATAGACTGATGCATCTGTATATCTATTCTGAATAAGAATGAAGACCTGTGGGATGGATTTGGCCCATGATGACTTTGGATCTTCTAGACAGCCTCCCCTCGCTACCACCACCACATTGCAACTAGGCTTAGGAAAAAGCTTCCCTTACCTTTCAAAAACAGCCCTTAAACAGCCCTGGCTGACTATAAAAACACCTCAGACAATCCAGATTGTAGCATCAGCATTAATTGTTAAAGAGTCAGGTCAGTAGCACGTGAAAAAAAACACAAGAGCACCAAAGTAAGAGACACTGAGTGCTGTCTTCCAAAGGTCTGAAGAATCTACATGGTCTTCTTAGGAAATCCATGGGCAGTCAAGCCATATGGGAAAAAACATTCCACAAGCAAACAAACATTCCACAACCTTGAAAAAGACCAACACCTTATGGATGGCAACCTGGAGCCAAGGAAAGCATCCATACCATGTTTTGGAAGAGGGGTTCATATACTAGAAGCATGCCAAAGAGGTTTATCCACTAGAGGAAGACGCTCTTGAAAGCAGTGATGTTACACAGTGCAAACTCGCTGCAGAAAATTACAGTCCTGTGTTGGGTTCTCCCCTTTCCCCCTTCAAGGCAGGCCTAACTTTGCCATGATGTCATCAAGCTGAGTGGGCTGCAAGAAGCATTTTCACAGAAGAGAATGGGGGCTAAGGCAATGCAGTCCTACATCCTTCTTCAGTCACTTATTAATCTGAGCCAGGCCTAGGGTGTTGCTGCATACAGATGCTTAGTGTTAGAATCTGGTGGCAAATCCCACAGTTACCTTTTTCTCCCATCCCAACAGTGGCAGTGAACTATTCCCATTTGGCACAGTTTCCTATAGAGCAGGAGTTTGATTGAGGAAGAGGAAGTATGTTTCTCCCTAGTACAAATGCCAGCTTTTATTTTAGCATGGCTCCAGTGCCTTCAGCAACTCCATGTGATAAATTGATCCACACAGTCTTTTTTCTACAGAGCATGCATTGCTGGGACAGCTTTTCCTGTCTGTTATGCAAAAGTAGGGAAAATGCAGAAGCACATACCAAAAAGAAAGAAAAAACCTTAATCATGTCCTGGCACTGACCTGTTATCAAGAGCCAAAGGCTTTTCCTTGTCATTCTCTAAAATCTTTGGCTGAAGAAAGAAGCGGGCAGCTATCAGTACCTGCAGCAGAATGAATCCGATGATGATGCAAAGGGTGAGACTAAAACAGAAAAGATAAGAAAGTTATAGTTTTAAAAGGATACTTGATGTTGGTCAAAAGAACTTCAAACATATATCATTCCCCAATTGCTCAGGGAATGCCATCATCACCACCACTACTATTACTACTATTATGTCTATACCACCTCACAGCTGAAGCTTTCTGGGTGCTTTGGATTGTTCAAAACAATCCAAAGTAGCACACTCCATGCACGAATGTTCTGCAGGGAACTCAAGAGACTGACAGAAATACAAAAGAAAAACTTCCCTCGCAAAATAGCTCAACAGAATCACACATGTGCAAAACCCCGCTGCTCTGTGCCTGTTTCTCTGCTTCTCAAAAAGAGTCTGTCTACAAGGATATGCTTCCATCCTTAAGATGATAACACCCAAAGGACTAAACAAGTAGAGATGAACCAGTCAAGAAGGTAGGAGGTGGAAGAGAGAGCCTTTGTATGCATGTGTGTATACAGCATCTGTGCAAGGGCGGAAGGAAAAATTGAGTAGGGAGCAGGGGAGAAGAAACAGAGAGAAATGGTGTCCGACACAGCAAGGAGCAAAGAACAAAGAAGCAGAAACAGAAAGCAGAGTGAGGGAAAGTACTCAATGCAGGAAGGAAAAAGGGTGATGCTGGTAGGGCCAAACCTGGAAGCAGGATCTTTTTGGAGGACGTGCAGGGAGAACAACACTGCTCTCGTCCATTGACATACTTCTTAGGGACCCCAGAAAAGAAAAAGGAGGCAAACAAAGTGTGTGCTCCAAAAAGAGGTAGCACTCAGAGTGGGAAGGGAACTTGAATGAGGAAATGAGAGGTTCTGCCTGTCTTTTTGGGAATGGGGTAGTGGACTAAGGGGGACTGAGGGAAAATGAAGTCACACCGAGCTGCCTTCACTTGCCCAAACATCTGTCAGGAGTAACGGGCTGATGAGCAAATAACCAACCCACAGTGACTTATCATCGAGGGCGACTTAGCATTATGGGCAAAACTGAGCATTATTTTTCTATGTCTTTGCAGATGAAACAAACTGCGCTATCTAGCTGTCTTAAAAGAGATATGGTTGAAAAGGGCAATGGAATCACTCATGTGGAGGAATACATGATCAGTTCAAACTTTTTTCAAATTTTAAAAAGCTTAACTTCAGAAGATGGAACGGAGTAATACGTAGAAGAAACTCAAATTGACAAGTTCACATTGGATCAAAGAAAAACACTAAGTAGTACAGTTCAAGAAATCTTGCAAGTTATAAAGAGCTTTTAAAAAGATAAAGCACCTGGGCCACATGGTTATTCTACAATGTAATTTAAGTGTCTAGAGGAAAAATTAATACTACCACTTCAAAAGGTAATGAATGAAATTAAAAATGAGAGAGCATTACCCACATCATGGCAAGAAGCTCATATAGCAATGATACATAAAGAAGGCAATGATCCTACTTTGCCAGTCTTACAGACCTATATCACTCTAAAATGTGGACTATACACTCTTCACTTTAATAATGGCTGAAAGATTAAGAAAATGTATAGAAAAACAAATACATACAGACCAGACTGGATCTGTATCAAAGAAATTAATGAAAAATAATCTCCGCTTTATGATTAATGCTATTGAAGGAGAAGGAGGAAGCATTTATTTACTTATATGTGGGAAAAGCCTTTGATAATGTCTCTTGGTCTTTTTATTGAAAACTCTTAAGTATTTAGAATGTGGTTCAAGATTTATGAACTGGATCCAGGCAATTTATACTATCTCAAATGCTAAGATTCTTATAAATGGGATGCTAACCAATAGCCTCCAAATTGAAAAGGGGACCTGTCAAGGATGCCCATTATTTCCACTTCTATTTATTCTTGTACTGGAAGTTCTAGCCAGGAAAAGTAGACAAGACTTAGACATAAAAAGCCAAAAAATAGATGGAGAAGAATACAAAATGAAAAGTTATGCAGATGACATAGTGTTGACTATCTTAAATCCGCATTTATCAATATAACAAATAATAGACAAAATGGAAAAAACTGAACTTTACTATGGTTATAAAATAAACAAGAAAAAGGCTAAAATATAGCAAAGTTTTTAATGGACAAGAAGAGGAACATATCTTAAAAATTCAATATATGGAATAACCTCTAATCCAGTTAAATGGGGAATAAATCTGACAGTACATGATACGTTATTTCAAGATAGTTATAAAACATCCTGGATAAAGATCCAAAAGAATTTACAGAGATGGTCAAAATTAAAAACTTCATGGTTGGGAAGAATTTTTATCATAATAATGAATGTACTACCCAAGTTAATTTTTAAATTTCAGATGTTACCAATTTCAATACAGGAAAAAACTTTAGAAGATTGGCAAGGAAAATTGAATGCTTTTATCTGGAATGGAAAAAAGCCAAGGATTAGATTTAAAGTTAAAAAAGAGAGGAGGCCTCGCAGAATCAAATATTAAACTATATTATTATGCAGCTGGTCTAGTCTGCTGGATCAGACTAGATTAGATTTTTAATTTAGTGAAAGATTAGTGAAATTAGAGATAGCAGACCTTGAAGAAGGAATACATAATCAATTATGGACCAAGGAATCTTTTAAAAAAGCATTGATCCTAAATAATACTCATGCATTCAGGAATGGTCTAATAAAAATTGGTATCTTAAGAAGAATTAGTCCTCTAATTTCACCTTTGATGTCTCTAAAAGAAGGATACTATTTGAGGAATTTGAGCATTTGAGGGAAAATAATGATTCTATAACACATGGAGATATGGTCAACCAGCAAGGACGAATTAAGGCATAGTAAGAAGTAAAACAAGAAGGAAAAACTATAAAGTGGTTCTTATATTATCAATTGGTCTCAAGATTCAAAAAGGAAATTCAAACAGGAAAAGGCATAATAAGGAATCTTACTGATTTTGAAACTATAATTAAATATCAAAAATATCATCCTTGGGACCAATTTATAAATTATTGCTTAAACATGATACTGAAACTCAGTAAGTTGAAATATCTATGAAAACCTGATTGGAGAACTTTGAAGAAGAAATACAATCTTGGCAATGGGAAGCCTTATGGACAAAAGATATAAAATTCATTGCAAGTCAAATGTTAAGAGAAAACTGGTATACGATGTATTTTCAGTGGTATTTTACCCTAAAATATATTCAGAAAATGAATAAGAACTTTAATGGAAAATATTGGAAATGTAAAGAGAAAGATGGGACATTCTACCATATGTGGTGGACATGCGATAGAACTAAAAGATTTTGGAAGCAGATACATATGGAAATGCAGAAAATACTTAAAACAGACTTTCCAATGAATGCCAAGAATATCCTATTAAGCATTGTACCAGAGACTATCCCAAAGATTATGACAGTTATTTAAATACATGACAACATCAGCAAGAGTGATAATTGCTTCAAAGTGAAAAGCTGAAGACTGTCCTATTGTCAAGGATTGAAAAAACAAGTTAGCTGACTATGCAATAATTAACTAACTACATTAACAGAAGGCCAGTCAAAGAATTTACTCAAAGATGGAAAGCTAAATCTGAGCAATTTAATTAATTGTCAAAGAAAATACAGTTTTTATAAATGTTAGTATTTACTACTTTAAAGTTAAGGCAATAGACTGAACAAGTTTTATCTGACTGAAAATTGAATTGTTTTGATGGGATTATAGCCAATGAGATTTTCACTTTTTTATGAATGTGTTTAAATGTTGATTTCACATGCTATATTTGTGGATTGACCTTGGCAACTTCCTTTCCTATATCCCCTTTCCTTTCTTATTGTATCTTGTGAAAATAAACTTTAAATTGGGGCGGTGGGGTGAGGGGCAGGAGAAACAACTGAATTAGAATGAAGCAAATTTATTGTGGACTTGGGGAGAAGGGAAGCTTCAAACCACTAGGTCACCTTGCCTCAGGCCACCTAATAAATTCCTGGCTGAACAACCCTCAGCTGGTTTACTCTCTCAACCATTTTCCCATGCTAGCTTTTGCTATAATGGAAGGCACTTACATTCCAATTCCCAAATTTTTAACCATTTCTACTCCTTGACCATTCTTGACCGGCAGCACAAAACTGTACATGAGCAGCACCCCAAAGAGGCACTGCACCACGTGGATGATGAGGTATCCTAGCAAAGAAAGCACAAATGGACCGTTAGAAAGCAGATAAAAGGACAACCCCAGTAAGTAGTGCAAAATGTTTGTCCACAAGACACACTTTCACGTACCCCACAGTATGTATGCAATTTGCCAACCAGAATATCTTGCTATTGCTGCCTGTTGGTATTAAAATAAAAATGAAACAAGGTTTATATATTATAGGGTCTGCCTAAAACACAGAAAATAAGAGCATACTTAAAGCCTGACGTACATTTCTAACAGAAATTCTTCAGTTGAGCATATCCTTTACTGAAACCATATCTATGCTATCCAACCTGAGAAAGATAAAGTTTCATGTAAGATAAATATACATCAACAACTGTTATCAACTGCAAAGGGTTACTTTCTTTTCTAAAATGGGGGGTCAGGGTTGCTAGGAAGCCAAGCCCTCTGTTCCGAGCGGAGATGAAGCCCAGAAGGAATTTGTGGACAGGAAATCCATGATTATTTTAAAGCATATTTTCCCATTGTATACCTAAGCAGCTGCAGTTCTGAAAATATCCATACCAGTTATTTTTAAGCCCACATTCCTGTGCTTTTCATTGTTTTAGACCATTTTGATATGGCTTAATAATCTAAGATCTTGGGCAAAGCCACCCTATACCCATTCGATAGCATCCAGCCTACCTCAGGATGCTTCAGATCGCCAGCGAGGAGGCTGAAACAACTCCCCTTCCCTCAACCCTCATAGCTGGCACAGAAAGAACCAAAATAGCCTCGGTTCTGGGAGCTGCTGCATGTTGGGGAGAGGACAGGAGAGCAGTGTCTCGGATTCATTCTGGCGGAGTCTCAGCCGCCTCTCCTCCTCTTCCAAGGCTCTTCACTTCAGAGACAACAGAGCAAGTATTTGGCAGGCAGGATGGGAGCAGCACAGCACTGCCCTTTGCCTCCACATGTCTTACATCCTGTGTAGGATTGTCCATAATCCTCAGAGTTCAGAAGGTTAAAGGAATCCCAACTGGACTGCACCTTAAGGCATTTGCTCTGTGTGTGTGTGTGTGTGTGCCTGTTACAAGATAAAGCCAATAAACACTCTGTGAGTGAGCAAGAAAAGCAGTAAGTACTGAAATCATTACAACCAGACCATCATAAAATGGAGAAGTGCCATGGCCCATTATGAGTCAAGGAAAGTCTGGGTACACAAAGAAGTTTTTGAGGGGCGTTTAAAGCTTGGCACACTGTCTGCCTCTTGAGCAACACATAGAAGGGTGTGCTCAAGGCCAGATACCATGCCTGAGAAGGCCCTCTTCCTTGCCATTGCTTTGTGACTCTCCACAGACTGCTGGGGGTTGAAAAAGCAAATCAAAATGGCAGCGTGGCCTCCCACTTCTCCCCAAATGCAGCACTCTGCTGAGGCTCATGCTCATACAATAAACATGTATGGTGAAATGGGGCCTTTGAAATTCCTCTGAGTCTCCTCAGTTACGCTATGCACTGGCGCCTGGCACTTGACTGCATTAAGAACACCACAGATACTGCACAGTACCCATTAAGGTGACCCCACAGAGCATCCACAGTATTGAGAGAAAAAAGGACCAGCTGAGATCAAGAGAAAAGTGAAAACTCACCACACTTTGAGAAGATGAACATTTGCTAAACATCACTGGAAGGAACTGCTTTTGCCCTGCCCAAAGCCGCTTCATGTGTTTTCTAGGAAAAAGCATTATCGAGCCTTAAAATGTGATTTTAAAAAAATGTAAGCTTCTAGGCCTCATGTCTGGTTGCACAGACTAGCACTTTTCAGTTGAGTCATGTGACCGTAGAGGAAGGCTGGCCTGAAAACAGGAAGCTGTGGAGTTAGGCCAGGCCTTTGTCAGGCCTTTGTCTGCAACAGAGGTGCGGGTCCTCACCAACTCGAGATAAAGCATATCCATACCTGTAGCAGGCTAAGATGTGGAACACGTAGCTCACACAGGTCAGGCAGGCAGTGAAGGTAGTGGCAGTCCAAACACCTGCAGGATGAGCAAGCGGCATCTTAGTCTTAACCTTTCTAAGTCCCAGTCCCTGCAGCAAAAACCTGATAATGTCTTCACAAAGAAGGTCCAAATAGACATAAGCTTCAGAACCATTTTTCTGCATCTTCCATGTTTTTCCAGGGTGTTTTTTCCAGCTGGAGATGAAACATGCAAGGGAGGTTGCCTTCTCAACATAAGGCAGGTTATCGCAGCTTGGGATCCCCAGATGTTAAGAGACTACTGAACCCATCATCCTCAACTTTTGGCCATGCTGATTGGGAATAATATAGATATATGTAGTCCAAGAAATTCTAGGGACCCAAGCTTGGGAAAGGCTGTTTTAAGATAGAGGAGAAGTGTTAGGGGGTGAAGCTCTCCCGTCTGAAAGAGAAGCCCCATACTTTTCTAAGGGAGCAGAACAAATTCCATCCCAGTCCCACAATCTGTTCCCACAGGGGCCAAGCAGGAGATGCAAAACAGCAGCCCTGCTGCTGTTCTCAGGATATAGAGAAGGATACGAGTACTTTCCCCGGTCTTGGAGGTGGTACAAAGGCATACAATTGGGAGCCATGGATAAATTTAGCTTCCCTGAATTTGTCCAGTCTGTTTTTGAAGCCAGTCAAGTTAGTGAGTATAACATTTTGTGGAAGGAAATCCAACACTGCGTTGTGTGAAATACTCCTTTTATCTGTCCTAAATCTTCCACCAGTCAGTTTCATCGGATTATCCCAGGTTCTTATGAGAGAAGAAAGGTATCCACTTTCTTCACAACTTGCATCATTTTACAGACAATCAGGTGCCCCCCATTACTTACCTAAAGATCCCTAAATACTGTAACCTTTCCTCACCAGGGAGTTCCTCCAGCCCCTTCATCATGTTAACGGCCATTCTCTAAATAGTTTCCACTGCTAAAATGTTGTTTTTACATGATCAAGACTGTACAAAACATGCCAACTGCTCACATCACAGAGTTGTACATGGACAACATCAGCAGTTTCTAATTTTATTTCTTTTGTAATTATCCCCAACATGGAATTTGCATTTTTGGTAGCACTCACACATTGTCATCACGCTACCAGAGTGAATTTGGAGTCCCAGTGTTTATCATTTTACATATGTTTACAATTATCTGCCTTGTCATTTTAATGCCCATTCTTCCAATCTGGAAAGACCCTTTTAGTCTTCAGAAATCTTGTATTTTTTAGCCACCCTAAATTATCTGGTGTTGGCAGCAAACTCGACCATCTCACTGGCCATCCCTAGATTATTTATGAACAAGTTAATTGGGAGAGGTCCTTCAAGGAAGCCTCAGCTTCAGCCCAATATCTTGAGGAATGAAAGATTTCACAGGCCAAGCCCAGGGATAGGAATTTGTCCATCCTTCCTAGAAAAACAATCAAGGGTCAAGATGTCAAATTCCAAAATCCCAACCCATGTCTTAAATGGTATGTTTTCCTTGAACCACTCCAAGTTTCCAGACATCTTTGCACCTCTCTCATGCTATCTCTGTACACATGAGAACAATATTAGTGGAAGAGAGCCATTTTTATCTTTAAAGTAGATTGTAGCTTTCACAGTTCAGTAACATACATGGACAATGCAAGAAATTGGTGTGAAAAGTTGCTCCAAAGCAGCCTCCCACATTATTTTGTGGCCAACATGCACAAACTCAATAAATCACAGATTGTTTTAGAAGTGTGATAATACCACCAGGCCTGTACCTTCTGTGACATCAATAAATTCTTCCAAGCTCTGGATTCTTGCAACTACTTGTGGCACATTGCTGGATATATTGCTGGAAGCAGCAAGCTTCTCAAAATCCGTCCCCAGAGTTTTCAGCACATTTGAAACAAGCTTGTAGACATAATACTCCATCACAATAAACTGGAGGACAAATGGGTAGAAACAGTTATTTAGTCACCTTGCCAACAGTTTCCCCCCAAAACATGTCACGCTGCAAATCCCTGTTGATGAATTCCTTCAAAGATCTACAAGATCTATCGTGAGCCTCTCAGAGACCTTCAGCTATTGGGTGGTATAGGAATTAAATGATCAGCATGGAGGAGAAAGCACGTTACAATGTGTCATTAATGGAAGGTCTGATAGCCATTTCTCTATAGCCGGATGGCACACATCCCGAAGGGAATGAAATAAGCCATGAGCATAACCCATTTCTTCTAATACTAGCACCAGAGGACCTTCTGGAATAGATAAAGGCGGTGGTTTGTGCTCATATAGGTACGTGGCAATCCATGAGACTGGCCAATGTTTGAACCATGTTCTAATATGCAGAAGTACAATTTACAGCCTCAAAGAATATCATTGCAGTACTTTTACGGAATATTGAAATTTATTTCACTTTCTCACTGTACAAATCATGGTATGCTGCAGAACTATTCTTCTTTCTGATTTGCAGCTGGGCCCTCATTCTCCAGTTGTCAGTTGTTTATATAGCTCTCTTCTTGGTGAACAACAATGTCTTGATCTTAGCCTGGGCAAGGAGCTAAAAGATCAAGTCTTTGTTTTACTGCTGGCTGGGAATGATTGCTCTGCTAAGAGGATTCTTGGCTGACATTGAGCAGCCCTCACATAACCCAGATTCTGCCTTAGGGCTATGCAAGTGCTCTTCAACCCTCACATCTTCACCAGGTCGCCCAATCCAACAAGCAGGATGCCACAGTTTGACAGGGATTAAATAACCCACAATGAGCTGTGGTGTGTCATCAGAACCCAGTCATTAAATTGAGCTGCAATTCCCTAGTTCAGAGAGCTCAGTTATTTGCTAAAATTTCTTGAGCAGGAAGATGATATTTAGAGGAATGCAGTGCCATGACAGGTTTATCCACCTGGGAAGGGGCAGACACTCTCAATACTAGGAGGTCCCCTTTACTTACCATGTAGAGGCAGATCATGGCAAGCACACCCATGCAGATCATTCTGCAGGGGAACTGGAAAAGGGGGTCCCATTCATAAACCTTTTGCTGGATCCAGGATTTCGGAGGCTGCCTGTTGGTAAAGAAGAGCATTTGAATAACACCAAGGAAAATAACAACAATGGAATGGAACAAAGGTGTAGAATACTTGAATACCTTCTCATGTTCTACCTGCCTTCCAGTTCCCCCTTTGATACAAGATGTGGACCCAGTTAAAGACATATTTTTAAGTAGGTGCCTGCCCTCCACTCTGGATTAGCTTCTGCCACCACTGGGCCACCTCATTATGTAGATGGTCAGTCACCTAGTTCTGTCTTCCTTTGACCAAGAATGATGGATTAGGCACAAATTAGCCCTGCCCTCCCCAACTTGGCCCCTTCTATATGCAAGCAGCTATAGTTCCTGAAACCTCCCAAGCACCCTGGCCGGCTAGAAAAATTTGGGAATTGTAGTACAAGATAACTGGAGGACACCAGGTTGAAGAAAACTGCACTAGTCTATCAGGAAACACAGCTGTAACACAGAGGGCTGTAGGGAAAGGGGACGAGATGTCATAGAATCATAGAATAGTTGAGTTGGAAGGGACTTGTAAGGCCATCAAGTCCAACTTCCTCCTCAATGCAGGATGACAAGTTAAAGCATCCCTGACAGAGGGCTGTCCAATTGCCTCTTGAATGCCTGCAGGATGGGAGAGCCCACCACCTCCCTAGGTCATTAATTCCATTGCTGTACTGCTGTAGCAGCCAAGAAATTTTTCCTGATGTCCAGCTTCCTGTAACTTGAGCCCATTATTCCATGTCCTGCATTCTGGGATGACTGAGAAGAGCTCCTGGCCCAGAAGGTCCTGGCTCAGCCTTCCCGACCTGCCACCCTCCAGATGTGTTCAGACCACAACTCCCATTGTTCCCAGTCAGCACAGCCAACACTAAGAGGAAACTGCTCTGGCTTATGTTTTCATGATCTATTTTAGCACTAGAGCTCAAGTGGAAGTACAACTGGCTGATTTCGGATGAACAACTATAATTCCTTCCTCCAGACCCCTCTCAGTGAGGAGCTTGGACTCCAATATTTTGCAGTGAGAACAGATATCTCTGCACCGCCTTGTTCCTTGCAGCAGGGGAATTTCTTCACCCAAAGCCTGCTTCTTTTCCATCTACTATACAGGCTGCCTCTTGGATCATACCATTTCCTTAATCCAGACTGACAGATCATTTACAGCACAAGCATACATATTTACCCAGAAGTAAATCCCATGGTTTTACTCAGCAGGACTTGCTTCCAGGTAATTGTGTACAGCATTGTAAATTTAATCTCCAAAGTGATTTTCATTGCAAGATGGTTTGGTGCATCTGACATGTTCTGCAACATCTACTAGCTGGAGAGAGGAGATAGAAGAGGGGTGGTTTGGTGGCATATTGTGCCCATGTGCCTTCATTTCCATCATTTCACATGCTCTGGAGTCAAGATGCATTCATTTTTGACTCCTGTGTTTAACAAGGAGACACCCAGAAGATTGAAACCTGCAGAAGTCTCATGCACGCCTGCATATGCTAAGAACTTTTTTATAAAAGAGTCCCTGAAAAGCATAATATGGGCAAACTTGGAACAGTAGTTTACCCGGGACAGAGGCACTTGGAGCACATATTGGAGCACAATAAGACAAAGATTGTGTGATTTGCTCTGCTTTCCACACAGAAAAGGAATATGCCCGTGGCAAGAGTTATCCTTACTCCGTGGGAGGCTTCTTCATCAGTTGCTGGACATACTGAGCTTGATGCAGTTCTAGGAAAGAAGTTTCCTCCTGCTGAGAAAGGAAAGAGCTACCTATAATTCTAAGGATCACACTTTAAACCAACAGATTTAAAAATCAGAGGCCTGCCTGATGAGCAATCAGAAAGAGCACAGCTTGAAATCAAGAACATGATGACGAGCTGGAAAGGATGCTAAGCACAAATTGGAGTAAAATAATTCACAAAAGCTGTGACTAGCCTTTCACGGAGAACGTAAATGGAAAAAAGTCCCCAAAATCATCAAGCTGGAAGAAATTTAGTTCCATCTTCCTTCCCATAGAACAGACACAGATCTATACAAATGTTCAGCATTCCAGTGTAAAGGTGGCTTTCCAGGAAGGATAAATGTTTGTGAAAGCATGTCATTTATATGCCAATATGTATGTGTGTGTTTAAAAAATGTGTAACCCACCTGAAGTGGAAGGGCAAAACTAAGACACTGATCTGACATATGAAGGAAGCCACGAAGCCAAAAGCAAGAAGTACAAGAAAAGAGTCTTTTGGGACAGATTAAGTTTTCAAGATGAGGACCAGAAAATTAATGTACTATTACCTAAGAATACTTACATTTAGATCCATTTGGAGTCGGACCCGTAATGCTTGCACAAAGATGTAGGCAAACCTGCCTAGCAGGAAAACCTTGCACAGCAAGGAGGGCCAGTAAAAAATTATCTTTTCATATTCCCCCACAACCTGTGCAGAGAAAGCTGGATTAAAAGGCCGCCTACTAGAAGTTGAAACACTAGTTAGGGAATGAGCTATAAACTAGGAAGTCCTCTGTTGGAATCTAACTTAAGTGAAAATTCTCCAGGTTGCTTTGGGCTAGGCATCCTCTCTTGTAGCCTCAGATATTTAGACATTTTTACTATTTGAATGTTATAATAATACTGGCCTGTTTTACAAGGTTGCCTGAAGAATTCCCAAGGCAATATATGCTCAGCACTTTGAGCACTCAGAAATTGTGCTGCATCAGATACAGCTACGAGAAAATGATGGAGGAGCAATGTGCACTTTCACAGAAGATTGTATTTGAAGCGCTACTGGAAGGCACCCTCTATTTTTGGTTTAGAGAAAGAACTATAATAAGGGAAAGCTCATCTGAGAGATAACCTTGGAAGATAAAGGAAGGTATTTTCTTTTCATTCTTTGGAACTAAACCTATGGGGTTTGGTCCAGATTTAGTCAAAAGTACTCCCATTAAAATTAACTGGACTTAAATTAATCTAGACTTGGTCATACAAAGTAGACCCATGTAAAACAGTTGGACTTAAATTAATCACAGCTGACTTAACTCTGATTTCAATTGGGTCTACTGTAACCAAGACTAAATCTGGATGGATCTAACCCCTAGAATCCAGGTACCTCTGCTTAATGTATATTGTACAATAACATACAATTTTATTACAGTATACCTCTTCATTTCAAGATCTACTACTACCAAAGCCCTTTTCAGGAGTTCATTGGGGTACAATTACATGTTAGGGTTCTCCCAATCGTACACCCAGAGGTTGGAAATGCAACCCACCACCAAGTTTTCCTGTCCCCCCAACTCACATTATGTGTGACATCAACCAATTAGCCTTATTACATGGGCACATACTCACTAGTCCATGGGGGCACTGTATAATGTCCACAATCATAACCACAGTCCTGGAGAAAAAGATTAACAATTCAGCTAAGAAAGCATCAGTCATGGTAAGCACCATAAACGGAACTGGATCCACACAGACTGCCCTTTAACAACTCATTCCCTTAGTGCGCTGTATTAACATGGGACTTCACCGGCACCAATGAAATGGCAAGATTAAGTCAAGCAACCTTCTTAGAACAGAAACTCATAATATTTCTTCCTAATCCAAGATAATCCATCAAGCAGAGAGAGAGCAAGAGAATAAAAAATATTAAAATATTGTTTAGTAGAACCAATCTACAAAAAATCATATTGCTGAGTCCACAAACTTCATCTGTACCAATTTTAGATTGCAGTAAACTACAGAGCAAATGTTGTCTTTGTTGAGAAAGGATGAAAAATTTTAGTGGTTGAAAAATTGATTGTGTATGACACTTGTCTAACAGAGACCAAAACCATTCATAAACCACAAAATTGCTTCCATTCCAACTAATATCTAGCTATTCTCAACTCCAGCATTCTACTGCCCATAACATTGCTTGGCTAATATCCTTTAGCACATAAGGCTGGAAAATAATTTAAAGCAGGGTTACTTTTGCTTACACAGCTGCAAGGCAGGCTAAAATTTAAGAGGTGGATGTTTGCCTACTGTGATCTTGCAGTAATGGAGTAAGATACATCTACCAAATAAACCACAATAAACCAAGGAACCCTTGTTTTCTGGGAGGGGGGGGTTGGCTCAAGCAGTGTGTACCTGCGTGGTGCCCAGTCATTCCTTCTGGGCTTCTGCACGTAGGAATGTTTAAGTAAACCGCAGCCCCTCTGTCCATGACCTGTATATCATGACATCTGAAGTAGGAACTTTAGCTTGTCTCTCCTGAAACAAGCCATGGTTTCATCTTGGCTTATGATTCTTGTGTTTTTGGGGACAGACAGACCAGAGTTCCCAATCTGAATGTTACTATAGCCATTCCCATTTGTAAGAGGCATCAAATGGGGGTTATCAGTAAGTAAGTACTCTAACTTAGTGACTGAGTTCAGACAGCGTAATATGCCACATTCAAGGGTTGATTGTGAGTTCTTGTTGAACCATGGGGTGTAGATGAAATGAGGGTTATCACACTGTCTGAACCTAGCTGCAGTAACAAACCACAGCTTGCTAACCACAAACAGTTCAGGAAGAGGAACCATGGTTTATTGTTGGGTTTGTTCACCATGGTTTGTTAGCTGGGTTCAGACAACATGATAACCCATAGAATCATAGAATAGTAGAGTTGGAGGGGGCCATGAAGGCCATCGGGTCCAAACCTGTTGTTGCAAGAGACCAACTTACACCATCCCGTTCAGATGGCTGTCCAGTTTCTTTTTGAATGTCTCTAGTGTGGGAGAGCCCACCACCTCTCTGGGCAGCTGGTCCCTCTGATGTATTGCTCTGACCGTGAGGAAGCGTTTCCTGATGTCCAGCCTGAATCTGGGTTGTCGCAACTTGAATTGATTATTCCGTGTCCTACACTCTGGCATCAGCAAGAAGAGATATTGACCTTCCTCTTTGTGACAGTCTTTGAGGTACTTACAGTGGGATATCATGTCCCCCCCCCCTCCAGTCTTCTCTTCTCAAGGCTGAGCGTGCCCAGTTCTCTGTCTCTCCTCATAGGACAGTGTTTCTAAATCCTGGATCATTTTTGTTGCCATCTTTCAACAACCTACAGTTCAGTGACAACCCATGATGCAACCCTTGAGCATGGCTTATGGTGTCTGCATGGTGTAAGGCATCATCACATCCAAACCAATTTATTGTTGCACCCAAATTCACCTATCTCCAGTTTTCTCAAATACCTGTCTTTCATAAGACCACCATTTAAGGCCAATATTTCAGGTTACTCACCAAGTACCTGTGTAAAGGAATCCAAGACACGCTCCTATAATCTGGAAACGTGTTGAAAGGCAAACGAAGAATGGATAGGAGGAAAGACCAACTTCCGTGGCACCAATGAAAAGAACAATGGCTGTAATAAGATAGAAAAGTACTCATAGTAAGAAGATACTACAGATATGCTCAGGGGGGCTGCTGTTAGGAAGATCCATAGCTCAGTGTTTGCCGAGCTGGGAAAGAACTGCTCGTGGGAGAATTAATAATTCCATTTGCCCACTCTGTTTCCCTGGTAATCTACCAGGCTGGGTTCCTCTGTATAACACCTGTAGAAAAACCACTGGCAAGAATGGGGGATGGAGGCTGCTGGAACGTCTGTAGCCATTTGGACTAATGAATGCAGTGCTGTTGAGACATGGTCAGCTATTGCTGCAGGCCAACCCCGTTGGGGTTGCTGCTTTTGGGAGTTGCAAGAGCAAGGCACCACTCCCTCCTTGCTGAGGTCTGCCATGGACATGCTGGTTTTGGAGAGATGTGTGATCAGATGCACCAATTTGCATCTGGTGAGATGCAAATTGGAGGAGGGGCAAGTGGCCAGGGTGTGAGCCTGGCTGGGGCTATGGTGGCAACCTGATGCACCTGAGAATGATTGCATGGAGGCCTGGCTTAGCCTTCATTTATTCTTATTGTATAAGATTATGAGTACAGTCCTTTGAATTGTATTAGTATCTTGTGCTGTGTATGGGGGTTGACTGAGGTACAGATGTGTAGTACTGCCTGGCTACTGAGTGAATGTGTTGTATTGACTGAGTGGAAGATACCTGCAGGCCGTTCTTCTTCCAGATTCACCTTCCATTCCTCCAAAAGCTGCTGGATTTACTGCCAGGCCCTCTGATCTCATAGTGCTATTACATAATGCCAGGTCAGTATGTAATAATTCAGATTCATTCATTATGAGATCATAGGTGAAGGAGCTGACCTGGCATGTACCACAGAGACCTGAGTGAGTGGGCTAGGTGAGGTTGATCTGACCCAGCTTTGCCCAACTGGGTAGTTAGTTCACCCCTAACTTAAACTGAAGACTAGGATGGGGAGTTGCTGGGATCTATGGAAGTTCCATCTTGCTCACCAGAAAAACTTATCCAACATGTGGTGGGCTTTGAGAGCCTGCACCTGGTGTTGGGCCAGAGACAGATGAGGATCGCCGTTGGTGTGCCATCTGCTCTATTACCCAACAGTTTGCTTGCATGAGATGGCTGAGGTAGTCTTGGACATGGTCTTGAAGATTGCCAGGGCAAATGTTCTGGGGAATTTCAACATCTACACTAAGATTAGCTTAGGTAGTGGAAGAGCAATTAGGCCAGGTGACAGCATCAGAATAAAATAGTCAAAATGAGGATCTTATTAATCAATATGAATGATTTAAACTGCCCTTCCAAACAAACCAGAACATTTAATTTTTTTGGAAAAAAACCCCAAAATGCAGATATGCTAAATATCCAAGAAACTCATGTGAAGAAAAAAACAAACATGGTCGTATTTTAAATAACAAGAAATTGGGCAAAGTTTATGAAGCTTCAGCAGGCGCCAAAAAGATAAGAATTGCAAACTACTTTAATAATCAAGTCCTATATGTTCTAGAAGAATTAAAGACTCAGAAGATTTATTATCCTTCAGATGGGATTTCTGAATGGTGAGATGTGTACATTGGCAACAATATGTGGCCTGAATAATGCAAAAGAAAAAATTTATGAAGAAGTCTTTGTTGCTATTGGATTTCCAAGAGGGAGGGAGATTTTTGGAGATAAGAATGGAGTTATGGAACCAAACAAAGATAGGGGGGGCTTCCTAGAAATGTTTTCAATTATATGGAAATACCACAACCAGAAAATGCATGGAAACTTAAAACCTCAAAAGCAATTATACTTTTTCCCCCCAACAGATTGATATGTGCTGGATAGCTAAACTTTAATCATGCATTTAGAGACTGCAAAAATTCAACCAAAGATACTATCTGATCATAATCCACTAGAAATACTTTGGCAAGAAGAACAAGCTAGAAGAAGATGGAGATTAAATGATAATCTTCTACTATAAGAAGATACTTTGAAGAAGTGCAAAAATGATTTAGAAGAATTTTTGACTTAATAAAATAAGGGATATCTCCATGGCAACAACATGGGAAGCTAGTGAAGTTTATATGAGAGGAAATCTAATTGCCATCACTTCAAAGAAGAAAAAAGAAAATTTGGAACAAACTAAGAAGTTACTTGAAATAATTCAAATAGTGGAAGAACATCATAAAACATTGCTAAATAAATAAATGTTAATTGAGCTTAACCAATTAAGAAACCAATTAGGCATGCTTGAAACAGAAGAGGTACAAAAGATGTTAAGATTTCTAAAACAGAAGCATTTTGAACAAGCAAACAAACCTGGAAGATACCTAGCATATCATTTTAAGAATGAAACCAAAAGGACAACATTAACGGGGTGAAGAAAAGCAACAGCATTAGTCATATGGAAAAAAAGAATACATGAACAGTTCACCCTTTCCCCCTCAAATCTGTATTTTTTTTTTAAAGACCCAGTCTCAGAAGATGGAATTGAGCAATGTATAGAAGAAGCATATGTTGAAAATTCCCATCTGAACATAGAGGCATAATAGCATAATTGCTTCTGAGCATACTTTCTGGCATTGTGGAGCCCAAGTGGCTGCTTGGTTTTTCGGGGAACTTAGTCTGATGAGACATACTAGAAGTCTTCAAGGATGCCTCCACACAGGCATGACAGCAGAGAAATCAGTGAAGGCGGCTTACTTTGCTGACTTCGGAGCATCCTGAGGCAGCCATGCAGTGGCATCCTTCTGAGTGTTATAAGGGTTAGTGTCCGCTGCCCCAGCTGCTCGTATGTTGGTGCCCCTAGTGATGCACCATGAGACACTCTGAGGACAAGTTACTTGTCTTTGCAACGACCTAAGTGCCAGTGTTGACGCAGGTCCCGATGAGCTGCCCCATGCATCGTATGCCCCAGTTTCATAGGAACAGTTTCAGTTGATGAGGCCTGAAGATGCAGGCAAGATTCCTGCAGAAAGTAGTGATAGCCTCCTTGAAAGAGGCAATCATGCAGCCACTCCTGAAAAAGCCCTCCCTGGACCCAGACTGCCATCTGCTGATATATATCCCCCTTTTAGGCACAGTGCTGAAGAGGACAGTGGCAGTGGAACGGCTTTGGACAATGCAGAAGCTCTTGGACAATGCAGAGTAGGAGAGTACCAGGATCTTTTCAGCCTGCTTTCAGAATGAAACCTCAAGACCTACATATTGACTAGAGGCAGAGGTGGGACTGCATCCCAGCATGCACACCAAGTGCCTCGTGTTCCTTGCCTTGCTGCATGGGCTGGTGGTTTCATTGCCTACCTCTGGGAAGACTTTTTTCTAATCCATCTACCTTTTGGTCGGCATTACTTTCAACACTTTATGTACTTCCTGGTGTTCCAGGCATCTGAAATCACTCTTCCTTCTACTTTTTGTAAACTGCTATGAGATGTTTAATGAATGACAGTACAGAGAAACTAATAAATAAGTAAACGACAATGACAGATGCCGTTGGGTACCTGTGAGTAATCTAGAGCGAGGGCAGCACTGATCAGGAAAGACTGTCTCTAATCGGCAACATGGTTAAGTACTCAGTTCTGTGAAAGGCATTGCTGTAAGTATGAAGAAAGATGCTTTTAAGACCAGAAGTGGTGCTGAAGCAATCAACAGCGCCATGAATAGCTTCACAGTGCGGTGAATGTGTGTGAACAGTGGGTGGGAGCAGCTGGCAAGAAGCTTTCTTTCTGCAGCCTACTGGAAAATGTAAAACTCTCTAATCCCTGAACAGAGGGGTTTTTCTCTGAGGGGGAAATAAAGATTGTGAACAGTCTGCCCCCCTCCATTTTGGTTGCTCCCAAGTCTTTAAATCTCTGCCAGTTATTCTGTGAACCAGGGTTTATTCTAGTGTGCAATCAGCCACATTTTGTGCAGTTTTGAGAGAATGTGCACTGGAAACTAGGTTTTTGTGCACTTGAGAATATGAACTTTCATCTTTTCATTGTTTTCCATAGAAAAATTATTGGAGGTGCTCATACATGGACAATCAGGTGGGCTGCAGATCTTTGCATGGTTGAAAACAGCACTGAGAATAAACCCTGCTATGGACTTGATCAGAAGCTACATCGGAAGCTAGACTGATGCATGCACTAGACCAAAGCGAATGGTGGAACATCTTTTACCATGAGCCCACTGGGGCAGCACTTGCTCTGGACCATACCCTTCTGAAAACAGAATCATGACTTTGGTGGCTGTAGCTCCAAAGGCAAAACTCAGTGACCACCGATTGCTGTATGCCCCCATGAAATCCAAGGGTCTGTGAAGAAGAAGAAAAAATATTTGCGTGGGCGCCGCCATTGGGGTGGTCATGGGCAATGGATGTTATGGCGTTGGGGGTCTAATGTGTCCGCATAGAAGAAGGAGGGACAGATGGCTAGCACCTGTTCCTCTTTCTGGTTATTCCCCCAGCCTGAGGGTTCCAGGTAGTCCTGTCAACCACCCCCCGGGCTGCTGCTTAATGCCAGGTCGGTCCACAATAAATCTTCCCTCATCCATGACTTGATTATGGATGAGGGGGCTGACCTGGCTTGCATTACAGAGACCTGGGTGGGAGAGGGCGGGGACATCTCCCTCTCTCAACTGTGCCCGCCTGGGTATCTGATCCAGCACCGACCACTCCTGGAGGGGAGGGGAGGGGGTTGCTTTGGTTTACCGAGCCTCTATTTCCCTCACGGGGCTTCCTGTCCTCTCGAGGCCGGGTCTAGAGTGCCTCTACTTGGTGTTGGGCGACCGAGACAGACTGGGAATTCTGTTGGTGTACTGTGCACCCTTCTGCCCAACAGTCTCCCTGCCTGAGCTGACAGAGATCGACTCGGACCTGGTGTTGAGGACCCCCAGGATGTTGGTCCTGGGGGACTTCAATCTCCATGCCAAGACTGGTCTGACCGGGGCGGCTCAGGACTTCATGGCCTCCATGATGGCCATGGGGCTGTCTCAACACGTCTCAACACATCCATGAACGTGGACACACTCCTGACCTGGTTTTCTCGATGGGGCAGGAAGAGGGTGATCTGAGGGTGAGAAACTTGTGTCTGACACCCCTGTCATGGTAAGATCACTTCCTTGTGAGGTTTGAGCTCAAGAGCCTTTCCCTCTCAGGGTCCGCCCCGAGAGCCGGATGGATCCGGATGAATTCCTGAAGGCCCTGGGGAATTTCCCGGTTGATAAGGCTGGTGCTCCTGTCGATGCCTTGGTTGAACTATGGAATGGGGAAATGACCAGGGCTATTGACACAATCACTCCAAAGCGTCCTGTCCCACCTGGCAGAGTCCATTCATCCCCTTGGTATACACCTGAATTACGGGCGATGAACCGGGTTGGGAGACGTCTAGACCATAGGTGGAGGAAATCATGGGATGAATCTGACCGAACACACTTAAGAGCCCATTATCGGGCCTATGCTATGGCAGTGAGGGCGGTGAAGAAGAAATTCTTCTCTGCTTCCATTGCCTCCTCACAATGCCGTCCGGTGGAGCTCTTTCAAGTGGTACAGGGGCTGGTACACCCAGGCCCAAAGAAAGACCTTGTGCCACCCGATAAGGTCTACTGTGACAACTTCGCCAAGCATTTCAGGGAGAAAATCGCTCAGATTCATCACGAGCTGGACACTACTAGTGAATCAGATTCTACTGGGGAGGTGCCAATGTTGCCGTCTGGTCCATAATTGATGGATGAGTTTTAGTTGCTGCGGCCTGATGATGTGGACAAGGTGCTTGGACAAGCATGTCCTACCACCTACTCAAGAAAGCCAAGGATGGGATTGGGACCTGGATCCTGGAGGTTGTCAACACCTCTCTAAGGGATGGCCAGGTACCTGCCCCTTTAAAGGAGGCGGTAGTCTGGCCAGTCCTAAAGAAGGCATTCCTGGATCCAGAGGTGGCCACCAATTATAGACCGGTGGCCAACATCCCGTTCTTGGGCAAGGTGTTAGAGCGGGTGGTGGTGGGACAACTCCAAGCATTCTTGGATGAAACTGATTATCCGGACCCATTTCAGTCTGGCTTCAGACCCGGGTACAGTACTGAATCTGCCTTGGTCGCCCTGTATGATGACCTGTGCAGGGAGAGAAACAGGGGGAGTGCATCCCTGTTGGTTCTCCTGGACCTCTCAGCAGCTTTCGATACCATTGACCATGGTATCCTTCTGGATAGGCTTGCGGGATTGGGAGTTGGAGGCATTGCTTTGCAGTGGTTCCGCTCCTATCTCAATGGCCAATTCCAGAAGGTGGTGCTGGGGGACTATGGCTCTGCGCCATGGCTGCTATGCCATGGAGTTCCGCAGGGGTCCATCTTGTCCCCCTTGCTATTCAACATCTACATGAAACCGCTGGGAAAGGTCATTAGGAGGTGTGGGCTGCAGAATCATCAGCGTACTGATGATTCTG